TTGGGTGCGTAGTAGATAATTAGCATGGCTAGAAATTATAAAGAAGAGCAAGAGTAAATCAGAACTCAATACATAACTTGATTGCTTTTTTCCTTCATGTAATTTAAACTCAAAAAATTTTTAAAATTGATCTCTGCTAATCTTACTAAAGCAAAATATTTGTGCGTGTAATATTAGTGATGGCAATGTTTCTCACTCTTAGCTAATCTAAGTTCTTGTCTATACTAGTATGATGCTTTTTTTTTTTTCTGCGTCAACAAAGTCAATCGAGTAATATGGATAATGCTCAAGCTCGGGAAGCAATCTACCATTCACTTAGACCTATATTAGGACTAACTAAACAGTCCTTGGTTGCAAAAATTTTAGAGGGTTGTTTCTATTTTGTGTAGGCTTATTGTTAGACTCGTCCAGTGAGGACCGGTCACGCCGGGGCTTGTTCACCGAAGGCAGAAATTAGCAAAAACAACGGAGAAGGCTTCCGCCACTGTGGCGGATAAGACCTGCGACGCGACGCGCCCTGCGTGGCGGTTCGGACGGAACGGTTAATTTGGGGGAGTTTAGATGGGATTTGATTTGCAGGATGTTTTTAGAGAATTCTTTAGATTGTAGTTCATTAAGTCGTTATTTTTCTAGGGTTTGCAGGCTCTTGCAATGGGCTGAAATTTGAGATCTACTATGATTTAGGTTTCTTTTGGGCTCTAGCGGTTAGAGATTTGGGAGAGAATCGATCAACTCTCCTGAATTGTGGATCAATTGTTCTTGCTTTCTTTATTCCACTTCTACTATTGAATACAGGCTTTGCCATTTTGAGTTTCTCTTAGATTTATCTCGGACAATGGTGACTGTTGTTTCTGCTGTTAAACAGCAGATCTGCTGTCTTGTCCCTGCTGTGGACCATTGGCTGCTGTTTCGGTTCGCCGATTGGTTAGGTACGTTGCAAACTCAGTATTCCTATCAAAATATGGTATACAGAAGAATCGTTTTTAGGACCAGTTCGGCGGGCTGACAATTCCTGACAAATCTTCAGCGGGAAGTTTGTTTCCGGAAAAAAGTCTTTCAGTGAAATCTTGAGAAGAATGATGGCGGAAGAAAGAGGAATTGACTTGTCTTAGCAAGGCAAGGGCAATTAGAGCGATTGAGATGAAAGATTTCTTTCACCTGTCAAAATTCCAAATCACCTCAACAATGAAACGGTTTGAGCAGGGGGAAGTTCCGCAATGAGAGAATTGTTCGTGAGAAGAAACTACTATTGAGAAGGAAAACCCAATCTCGGCGACATCAAGAAGTAAGAGAGACCTCGCCGAACGATGGCATGGAAGGAATCCGAATCCCCTATTAGGAGGAACTTCGGAGTGGAAGTCTAAGAGGAACAGAGAGAACGACATCGCCTCGCTCTAGAGCCTCTTGAGGGAAGCGTGGTTTGGTGGGATATGATAGAGGTGGGTTGATTTTAGGTGGGAGGAGCGAGGGGTTCATCGCCAGAGTGCTGATTGAAGAATCAGACGTCGAGATGGGGGGGGATTTTGAAGAGAAGAAGGGACGAGGTCGATCGTCGAGGTGCTGAATTTGAAGGTATTTCGACGTCGAAGGTGTTGATGTTGAAGGGTGGAGACGGGTCGAGATGAAGCGGGGTATAGAGTATATTCATTTGGCCAGGACGATCGGAGCAATTGCGGACACCTCCTTTAGGCGGAATGGATCGATGCTATGGAGCAGAATACCGGGAGAGATCCAGGTGAGGGAAATGAAGGATTTGCCGTATTCGGAGGGGGCAGCGTGGCCATGGCTGGATCTACAAAGTGTCGGCGTACTTTGTTGTCAATGGGTTGACAGAGGTGAAGAAGCTGATGCCGACGGATTGTGTTGGAAAGGAAGAGACTTTGTCATGGTATCTAGTGGCGTGACAGGGAGGGGCCTACAGGGTAACTGGATGGAATTCAAAAACTTGACATAATAGAACTCGTTTCCAAGCCGACCGGCGAGGAGATTTTCTCATGAGAATTCTTTGCTCGTAGTGCAGGAGGATCAGTAGCAGAACTACCGTGGAGTTCAAGACCTGGCTAGTAGGGTGAAGATTATAGTACGCGAAGTTGGAGGAGGAACTTCTGTAAGGGGTTTTGAAGCAGGATTCGTGCAGGCTCAGTTAAAAGTTCTGATGCCTTTACGTTGTTTGTGCAGGAGGCATGAAGTTTGGCACAGCTGGGTAGAAAATACGAATTATCTGCGAGAAGGAGCCAGGGGCAGCAAGATCGGAAGGCTCGTCAAGGACTACGACACTCTTGAGCACCAAAGGCTAATGCATCAAGTCAACAATTAATGAGATCACCGGGAGAGCCACAGTGGAGGAGTGACGTGGGGATAACTTCAGAAGCTACTGAGACAGAATTACAGGAGAAGGGGCAAGGGCTTTGTTTTCAGATTGTGAACGAGAGGTAACGCCGAGGCACGGTGTAAGACGAACTCTTCAAGTTACTCTCAGTGTTTGTGATGAAGAAGGACTGGGAATAGGTGCGTCTTTCACTTGTGGGACAAGCGTGGATCTTTGGAGGAGTATGTTGTAGACCGGTCCAGCCGGTCCAGGCCGGGATTGGTTCGGTCGAAATCGGCCCAAAAACAGCCGTCGAAGCTCCGCATGGGCGAACGCATCTATCATAACACTAACAGGTTGTGAAATATAAAAAAAAAAAGCAGAGCTCTCTCCAAACTATCCACGTTCATAAAAATAACCTCTCCTAAGGCACCTATACCCATAGTACAATCACATACTGAACCAATGAATACCATTTTTTAATATTATACATCATAAATTTCAATGACCATAGAAATGATCAGTGACTGCATCCACACCTACCGGCTTAACTGATAAGAGTAATGTCAACCGTGCAAGACATGGGCTATGCACCTAGACAGTGAGATAATTCACACGAAACAACGAACAAGTAAAACCGTAGTAGTAAGACCCAACTACTTGTACTTCGACTGTGGCGAATCCTGGTGCGGCGACGCGCGCCTTGCGGGGCGGTTTCGGGAAGGAAATTTGAGGGAGTTTAGGAGGGAAATTGATTGCAGGGACTGTTTAGGGAATTCCTTTTGAATTGTATGCATTAAGTAGTTGATTTTTCTAGGGTTTGGGGCATCTTGAATTTGGCTGAAATTTGAGATCTCTTAGATTTAGGTTTCTTTGGGCTCTAGCGGCGTCTAGAGATTTGGGAGAGATCGATCCTCCTCTCGAATTGAGGATCAATTGTATCTTGCTGTTTTTATTCATCTACTAGTGAAATACAAGCTTTCCTTTGAGTTTTCTCTCAGATTTTCCCGGATAAGTGCTGTTTTTCTGCTGTAAACAGCAGATTTCTGCTGTTTTCCTGCTGTGGACAGCCATTTGGCTGCTGTTTGTTCGCCGATTTTGGTTAGGTTACTTGCGAACTCAAGTATTTCCTATCACTTATCCACACCTTCACCTATATGTCTATTTCACTAAGCCTATCATTGATAGAATTTGCATAAAATAGACTTTAAATCCTATATAACACTTAATATGAATGAATGGGGAAGGATTTATATATTCAAGAAGAAATAGTTGAGATTAAATCGTATCTGCATCTGAATGAGGGTATGAAACTTTAGACCTTGATACCATTTACATTGTACGGGAACTCTTATAGACACATCTCTACAAACTACTTAATATTGTAAAAGAGAATTAGGCACCATCAACGTGAAGCTTCTTTGTTTGATAGATTTTGACAGTCCCCTTTTTGTTTGGCTCGAATCTCGTTACAATGTCATTCTGACGCAAGTTAAAAGTTTATCAAATGCTATTGCCAATCTTAATTTTCTTGTATACTTCACTTTTTCTTATTTTACTTTAGTCCGAACTTACAGCTTTAGCTTTTCAAATAAAGAAAAATGGATGGATGCTGCAATTGTCCTTCGATTATTTCTCAGTACTGATTCCATGTGTTTTTGGATGACCTTCCTTGTAAACCAGATCAAGTTTCTTTTTTCTAACTTTTTGGTACGAGAGCAGTTGGAAAAAAAAAATTGTTTTTTAGCATATTGGAAACATACTTTTGATAGTCTTCCGATTCAATGCAATTTTTTATTGGTTTTTCAGAACCATCTTTTCAGTTACATATCAATTTTATCTTAGAATTCTGCCTCATAATTGATTTGCTTGTGTAAACCCTGTACTTTTGGAATGGCTTATTTAACAAATCCCCATGAATAGGGTCAACCTTTTGTTTTTTCAATTTTTTTTTTCTTTTTCTATTCTTAAACAAGTCCTCAAAATTCTTAGTCGATCCATGATTTCTGTATGCTCTTTCTTTTCTTTTTTGTTTATTTCGAGAAAGATTAGAATTAATTCTGATTCTTTCTCTTTTCATAGATTCCTTTCCAAGTAAGATTTATGGATCAATAGGATCCATAGATCTGTGTTTTTATAGATCCTGTTCATATACTTGAAAAAATAAGCAAATTTTTTATTAACATTTGCCATTCTATAGTTCTTGTCCTTCCATAGTTCTCATTCATAATTAATTTTTAATTTCTTATGTAATGCTGATGTTCTTAGTAAGCAATTAGCTCTGATTCATAATAAAAGAGATGTTCAAGTTTTATTTTGGGGAAGCTGTGGCGTTGCTGCTGCTGCAGTGCCATCACTTTCCAACAAGGGCCAGGAAATTCACTTTTTGGTTTCGCAGTGTGAGAGGATGCCTCTAGTAAGTGCATTTGTTGTTTGACATGACGACCACCTGTGATGCTTACTATTATCTCATGGTGATATCTCATTGATGTGATGGCTTGCCAAACAAACCCTTGTTAACACACGAAACACTTATTGAATATATATAGACTTGGATCTAAATATTTATGGTTTGTACATGCCAACTATTGTTGTTTGATGTTTTGAGCTTTTGATTCCCCGTTAGTTAAATGTGCCATTTTGCTCTTCGTGGCTTCTGTAGTTTTTTAAGTGACTGGTTCTTTGTTTGCAGGCTATTGATAAGAAGAAAAACATTCGATAGTACAAAAAATTTATTTACCTTAATGGGTTATACTGGTACATAAAGGATCTTCAGGGGAGGCGTTCACTTGTAGGTTATTATGTATCCATCTATTGATTCCTGACAGATCTTTACTCTGATCTTCGTACCATTTTTATTCAATCTTTTTTATGTTTTTAGGATATTGTATCATGATTCTACGTTGCCTGGCAAGGCTTATGTGAATTTATTCATGTCTGATGTGCCTGTCAAGAATTGCCTGAGCTCTGTGCTCTTGTGGCTCAATGACATGCTTTCTGAAGGTCCATCATCTTTTCTGTTTGAAGAGCGGATAACCAAATTTCGCAAGCAAAGGTGAGTTTTATGTGCTGAACTAGACGTGGTTGTGTTTCATTACAAACTTAACCACTCCACTCTTATCTACTGAAATTGAGTAGTTTATTTTTCATGTTTTTGTTGATTCTTCAACATGATAAGGATGTGATGTTTATGATCATTCATAACAATATATCTAAATCCAATATATGTAAGTTCATTTACATGATTGCCTCATTTAATCCATGATAGCTTTCTTTCTGGTGCCTTATAGAGTTGCTTGCCATCTCAAAGGGTTTTCATGTTTATTTGACTTTGATGAGAGTTAAACAAGTTTTAATGAGCTTGGATGACTTGCCTTTTGAACTTCACACTTGTCCGTTGGGCTTGAAATTGTTCCTCCAATGCCTTGTCATATATTCAATTTTCATCTTTTTCAATGTTTCCGATGTTGTATTTAGTCTGATAATTTTTTAACTTTATCTTGTTATTTCATGAAAACAAAACTATGTGGATAATACTTTGACGTTCCCTTATATCAGTTTGATTTACAAGTTCCCACCTGTGGGTCCGTGCAAGATATTATTTCTTTCTCCCTTATTTTTGGTGATTGTAAAAAAAACACATTAAATTTGCGATTGATGCTCCTTACACCTGTAAATTCAGTGCTAATCAATACCAGTAGAATGACATGCTACATAAACAAGATCTACACAATTTAGGAGGCATCTCTATTTTATTGTACTTTCAAAACTGAAAAGTGGATGCCAAATAAGTTTTAGTTTTGTGCGTGGTGAACTTTATGCGTGTGAGAAGTTTTTCTGAAGAGTAGATTAACTGCACTCCTGAACTTCTCCATGAAAAGTTTTGCTACTTGACAAAATCGGTCCTTTGATGTTTCCTGGAAACAGCAAGTAGAAACCATCTGTCGATATATGATAGAAAACAAATTTCAATGATGGGTACACGCAAGTAAAATTTCAAGTCCCTCTTAGCCAAGTTAGAATGGCATACTTTTATGCAGATGCAGTTTTCTTTCTTATACGAGTTTTTATGAGAATGCAGTGTGATTGGTTTCACCACGCCTCTAGTTTAGTCTACTAGATGGATGAAGTTGAGATTGGATTCTTGGCTAAACTAGAATGAATATGTTGACAAATGATAATATTAAAAATAAAGTAAGAGGCAAAATTGTGAAAAATGGCAATTTGAGCAAGCATATGCACTAATAAAATAAATTGATAAAGCTCCTGTGAAATTATTGAGTAAAATGATTCAAAGATATATATATATATATATATAGCTATTAGATGATGAAGAAATCAAGCAATTGTGTTTGTTGAAGTTTTAATAGCCCAATCTCTTGATATAGTTTGTCAAATGTGCTAATTCTTATATCACCCCTTTGAGATTAAAGAGAGCATTGCTAGGGGTTACCATTGAAGACGGATATCTAATTGGAGGCTTTGCGATCCAGATTAGGTGGTGGGAAATTTGATTAAATTTAGATTACATCAACATAAGGATACAAACAACAACATGAAGCTTTTATCCCACTACGTGGGGTTAGCTACATAAATCCTTTTTCTATATTGTCTTGTTAAGAGTCAAATTCTCATTTAAATTTAATATTTTTTTTTTAATATGTTCTAACCAATATTTTTCGGTCTACCTCTATCTTTCTTAATATATGCCAAATCTAATACATCTACTGATGCGGAAATCCGACGGTGGACGTAATCAAAGGAAGAGACGATGATCGACGACCGGGATCCCTCCATTTTTTATCTTAGTTATTAATTGAATTTTTGATTTAATTATGCATATTCCATTTTTACCCTTACTTAAGGGTCTTCTCTTATGTAATCCCACGAGGCAAAGTTGTCTTTTAGTTTCTTTTAAGGCCTACATATAGAGGCCCTTGCTCTTGTATTAGACAATGATGGATTAATAAAAAATTTGTTTCTACATTTTGTTCTTGAGAGATATGGGAGTTCTTAGGAGAGTGGAAGTCCCTATGTGAGGGAAATGAAATACCCACTAGTCACAGGATGTGTCCGGCTCGTGGTTGAAGTCCCTAGGTGAGGGCATCGCGTTACCCGTCAGCCGCACGAAGTGTTCGGGCTCACGGTTTTATCTTTCTTTCCGTTAACTTTTTTTCTCCTTCTCCCTTGACCGACAGCCTTACCCCCTCCACAGCTGCCGGCCAAGCTTCCCTCTTCCCTCCTCCCACTCTCTAAGCCGAACAACACCACCCTTTCTTTCCCCCACCTCCAACCGTCGGCCACTCCACCACAACCCAGCCACCAAGCGTTTTCTCCCATCCAACCCGCCGGCTACACCCTCCTCAAAACCCCCCACCACAGGCCATGTTTCCCCTACACCCCACCGCTGGCCCACCCTCCAAGTTCCCTTGATTCCAATTTCATTTCATCATCATTACATTCCTAAATTAGCTCATGTCTTATTTGGAAAGTTTTCGAATTCTCCTAAATAACCTACATCTTTTTTAGAAAATCTTTCAATCATATTAAATTTGAAATTATTTCATATTTTACTCTCCAATCTCCCATTAATGTATGGGTCCACATACATTGTATGTGGACACCTTTTCCTTTCCCTCCTCATTAGGCTGGCCCCTCTCTCTCTCCCTTATTTTAATTATTTCCTTCCTTGTTAAGGAATTCAGTTAGGGGAATAATTAACTACCTATTTATCCTTCCCTCCATCTTATTTGAATATAAAATTTTAAATACCTTGATTAGAGAAAAATCTGAAATTTAATTTCAGATTTTTAATCATATTATCTTCCCTCACCCCCTCCGTTCTACATATCCACTCTCCTAACTGGGTCATCAAAAGGATGGCATTTTATATGACCAAATCATCTAAGGAAACTCTTTGATCTTATCTTCCATTGGAGTTACTCCAACCTTCTCATATATATATACTCATTTTACATTATGTCTATAAGAGTGAAGCCACTCATCTACCTGAGCATCCTCATCTTTGCAACACTTAATTTATGCTTCTCTTTTAATGACCAACATTCTGCGCCATAAAGCATTGCAATTCTCACCACCATCTTATATAATTTTCCCTTAAGTTTGTGAGGTACTTTTCTATCACACAACAAGCTTGATGCATCCCTCCACTTCAACCATCCAACTTGAATTCTACTAACAAGCTTGATGCATCCCGCACTCTTATTAATAACTTGATTGCCCAAATTCACAATCCCTCCACTAGATCTATTTCTACTAAATTACATTCTATGTATTCAGTTTTAGATGTACTCAAACAAAAACTTTTAGACTATGAAGTTGACATCTATAATTCAAATTTACCTTAAACTCCCTCTCTAGTCTTGTCAACAAGAAGAATGTCATCAACAAAAAAATATAGACTGAGGGTACTTCAGTATAAGGATGTGTTTGAATTTTGTATTTGTTTGGATTTTTTTTTTTCTAAATTCAAGATTATGATAAATTTTGTTAGAATCATTGTTTAGTTTGTGGTTAATTTATTTGTTATTTGAATATGAATCTTATTTATGATTTAGTTTCTTTCTATTGTGGAGTCATTTAGGATTGATAAGATATATTTTTAAATTAATTTTATATACTTTTGCTTATAAATAGGCTAGAGTCTCATTAAAAAAAAATTAATCTGACATTTATTCCAAAGTTCTTTTTCTCTTTTCTATTTCATAGTGAGGGGATTGAGGGTTGAGGCTTTTGCTCGGGATACTTGTTGGCTCAAGGAAAGAATTTAAGTGGTCTGTTCCAAATGGGGGATTCAACAAGCCTCGAAGGAGTGGTGGTTGACATCCTTGTGGAGTGGAGAAGAAGACTGATGAAGACATACGAAAATGATTAATATTTGTGATTTAGCTTTGTAGCCTGCTTCCATGGTGAAATGATGTGGAGATGTCCATTCAGGAAGGCGAAATGTACTATGCATTGGGAAGGAGATGGAAAATTACTCATTTTTGTTTACTCAAGTTCCACCTCAATAGCATATGAAACCCAGTTGTGTGCTATTGGATCAAAAACTTTTATATAGAGTCAGTCCTCTAATTGGCTGCATGAGGAATCTTTGTTCGTCTGAGAGTAATGTGCAAATCTTTTTGTTATTTGTCATGACTGAATGTAGTGTAACGACACAAAATTTTCAATTGGACTTTTATTAGAATGTGTGTTGAATGTGTTTAGGCTAGTTTGACAATGGGCAATGCGATGCAATAAGTCTTATTGTGACATTTTGTACTGATCGGCTTAAGGCCAATTGATAGTAGGAAATTTTTAGACATTCAAAATGATAATCACATTATGTTTAAGCACCTTTATAAATATCCCAAAAGTTCAGGCTTGTTTGATAATGGGTGATGCCCAATATGCCTTATTGTGATATCTTAGATTGATTGGCTCAAGGGCATTTGTGGCAAATCAGTTTCCTTTTGTTGCTGACAAAAAAATTAGGGTGGCATAAGTTATTACGATGAAGTCTTCAGGCCGACCAAATATAAGGTATTACGATTGTGCTAACTTAGGTGATATAAGTAGATGATATAGTGCCAAGTTAAGTTTGAAATTGTTGACATTGTGGCAAATATGGCATTTGAGGATCCCCTCTAAGTTTAATCTTTCTACCAGCTCCAAAGATGTGAACGATGGAATTTGGTCTGTTGTTGGTATATCACTACGTTGTCTGGGAGGGAGAGAGTTGGCATTGAGGAGAACAAAGATAAAACAAGAGTTAAGCCTTTGACTCAACATATTTTCCTACTCGGGGAAGGACGTTACTTATTTTCGAAGGATGTAGCTCGAAAGCCTTAAAAGAGTAGTAGTTTATGTTTCTGTGGAGGCCAGGAGACATAGGAAGACATGTGAAGATGAATTTATGTGGTTCAATTTTATAAGCTGTGCCCATAGTGTAATAAGGGGAGGAGTAAACTATGAAAGATAGGGTTCTCAATTTGGGTTAATGGGTTGAGTTTAGGTTAGACTTGAATTTGACATGTTTTGAACATGAACCAT